TTAGTTTTTAACAGAGGTTTATATTTCAAAAATCATATTTGACTGAGAGGAAAATGATTTTTGTGGCCTTATAGTTGGATGTTCTCTCTATCCTACATATGATCCTAAAGTCTAACACATAGGGTCTTCAAAATGTCTTTCATTAATCCTTGAATTTGTAGGATTTTGTCTTTGTTCATTATTACTTTCCATATTTACAATGAATCCTAAAAGTCTAACCACTAGGGTCTTCAAATGTCTTCATAATCCTTGAATTTGTAGGATTTGTCTTGTTCATTTATTACTTTCCATATTTAATCTGCATAGAATATTATTAGCATAAATAATATAATTTAAATTTATTTGTTTTTTTTTAATCATCAAAATCTTGAGATTAATATTTGATCCTTAAGCCAACAGCTGTGTGATGCATTTTCACTCATTTTTTTCTGAATCTTAGGACAGATTATGGCATTTACTTTCTTAATTAATTCTTTTTTTTTTTTTGAACATCCTCTTCATTAGCTTTGTCCTAATCATTTCTGACATAGTAATTATAGCATGGTCTCTAGCATCTAATATGTACTTGTTAAATGATTTACAGAGGATTTTTTGTTAACATATCACACAACACATTTGGTTTAAAGCAGGCTCTAGACCAATTTGTACAAGACCTTCATCTAATCCATTCCCTAGCCTCTTTACTTTTTTTTTTTTTCTCATTGCCCTTTAAACATACCTCTAACTTTAGATGTATATGATGCTCTAGCAGCATTCCACAATAAATCCTTCATCTCTTTTCCTTTGAAATGGGTCCTATAGTTAGTGTATAGATGTCTCGCACATAATCTATGCTCTAGCTCTGGCCACATTCTACCTATTACACTAACCATTCCGTAGATGCACAATAATTCCACACATAGACAAAAAAAATGAAAAGTTAGATCGCATTCATGCAAATAATAAATAAAAGCACATAAAAAAATGCAAAGTAAAAGGGAAAATACACACCTTTGGTCTATCACTCATAAAGATGAAGTGGTGATCATTGAACAATTCAAGATCTTCCTTCAAATTCTCTAGAAACTGGGCCCATGTGTCCATGCACTCAAATTTGAGAACAACAGATGCTAATGGACAGATACAATCATTGGGATCAATGGTAACTACTGATAGTAGTTGCCGTCCATAAGTTCCATTTAACCAACACCCATCTAGGCAAACTAGTTGTCTTAAAAAATTCCTAAATGCATGCTTCAAGGGCTGGAGGCAAATGTATATGCCTCCAAACACCCCACCCTCTACCTTAAACAAAACAATTGATCTTGGTTTAGTCCTAAACAGCTCTGCATTATAATCATACAATCTCCCACATTGTAAACTTTCATCCCCATGAATAACTTCCAAAACCATAGCACTAGCTTTCCAAGCTTTCATCCTACCAATTGAATACCCATGGTCTGCCTTTATTCTAACAATGAAGTAAGCCAACTCCCACATTGGGTTAACCCTAAATCCTCTAAGTATGTTTTGGCTAACCAAGTTGAAGTGCATTGTAGATTTCTTGTCCCTATGCTCTCCCACTCCCTTTAGGTCTACCCTTACCTAATTTTGTCTCTCTCATTCTCATTTTAAAATCTCATGTCCTTCTTCAACATTATGCTCAGGATCTCTCAAATCCACTTCTTCCTCATATTCCCTATCCTGACCATCTCCCCCTTCCACCTCTACCCCAGCCCCCTCCCCTTTAACCTCATTTCCCTTATCCTGACCATGATTTCCCCCAAATCTATATCAACCTCCTCTCTGTCATCCCCCATATCACCAATTCAAAGTCTGAATTAAGTTCTAAAGACCCTAAATCATACCTTAAGTCTAGATTATCTAGCCCCTTCTATGTATCTTCCCCCTATTAATGTTGTTAGCTTTTTTAGAAGCTTTTCTAGAAGGGGCAGTAACATTTTTTTGTACAATTTCCAAACTACACTAGGCATTCTATTGACATTAAATGGCTCTGCTAAGTCATTTAAATTCAAATGTTCTACATACATATTAATGATCCCCACATCACTACCCCATAAAGACATCTCATAAGCATCACTGTCTCTCTCTAATAATTTAAGGCCAACATTGAAGTCCAAGTCTGGCTGCTGATAGTAGTACCTAAGACACCTCTCAAACCCTTTATCTTGCAACATTTTGTCTATCTTAACCATTGACATAGTTTCTAGATTATAGTTATCCAAAACTGTGGTATCCCACCAAAAATAACTCCATTCCCCTAACTGATCCCCATAATACACAACCAAATCATACTTTAAATTAGCTCCTCCTGTTATGTAAACATACAATATTTACTAAGGCTATTTTTTATATTGTCATGCAAGACGGTACACTTACTGAATAAACAATATTCAACAACACCATTAAGTAGCAAAATTTATGGATTTAATCTACCAAGTCAATACACAACAGTATAAACATCTACCAACATTGATGAATTGCATTAAAATATTAGTTTTCTAGTCGCAGTTATGAAGGATAGATTTTTACCAATTTCCTTTGCTACTTAAAATATATACAAAACAACAAATCTATAGTAAGAAGATAGATCTTGTAGAAAAGTGCAACTGGATTTAATTTACTAAGTCAATACATAATAGTACAAACACCTATCAACATTGATTATTTGCATTAAAATATTAGTTTTCCAGTCATAGTTATGAAGGACAAAAACAATTTTTTACCAATTTTTTTTGCTACTTTAAAATATATACAAAACAATAATATTTTAATATTTGCATTAAAATATTAGATTTTCAGCTCTAACTTGTAGAAGATAGAGCTTCTTACATTGCAAGAATTTTTGGTTTACTGTTAAGAATTTTTTGCATCATTCTGTATAGAAAGTGAGTCATTGTTTTAGAAGGGAATGTTTGAAAGATGAAGGTATCTAATGCAAAGTATTGAAAGGTTAGTTTAGTTTTAATAGATTGATAATATTTTTCTCAAGAATGTCATTGGATTTAATTATTTTCATGTCGCTGATGGAAGGAAATTTCAAAAAATTTATAAAGAAAGAAGCCATAACAACCTCAAAGATCTTACACTTTCCCTTTGAGCCAAACAAACAGCAAAAAGTCAAAATTGAAATATGCAAACTTTGATCACAAAATCTTGATTTTACAATAAATAGTAAATTCTATAAATCATTTTTGCTAAATTAGCATTTTTAAATAAAATAAAAAAGTTTAATGAACATTACTTGCACTTTGTTACCAATTTCCTTTGCATTAAAATATATACAAAATAGAGTAAGGTAAACTAAATCTTCATCACATGCAAAACGAATCAGTAAAAATCACCACAGAAGTATTGTTCATCCCCAGATTCGAAAATAAAAAACCCTAACGCAAATACCCTTTTTGTTTCGAAACTATAAGAATATATATGGACACATTCATGAAAGCGAAAAGAATAATAAAGGAAGAAAACAAAAACTTATCGTCTTGAATTGGACCCATTTATAGAGATCAACAGACCCACTTCCTTTTCCACAAAATCTTTCGCTTTTAAGACCTTCTCTCTCTCTCTCTTTTTTTTTTTTTTTTTTTTTAAAATCTTTGTTTTAAAAGAACCTTTTTTTTTTTTTTTTTTTTTTTGTGGAAACTCATAGTATTTTTCCTTCTCCCTAACTATCTCTACCTTAAGAATGCCATGATTGAGAGAAAACAAAAATCTGATTCTACTTTTCTCTCTCTCTTTCAATCGATTCAAATCGTCCCTTTTTTCAAATTCTATACAGTCGGTCAGTGTTGAGAAAGTAAACAGGTAGGGGGCAAGAGAGAGAAACTGATTGGACTCCAAAAGATTGATGTGGCCTGCCGTGTCAGCGATGACAGTGAAACCTGCTTTTAGAAGACAACCACGTCAGGCTCGTAGCTGATTAGCAGGTCAATTTTAGTTTACTGTTCACAAAATTAAAGTCCATGCATATTTATATTACAAATTGAAATATGATTTACGATAATATGCTAGTATGTATATATGAGATATGATAAGTGAAATTAAGCCTATGTTCTATAATTTTGCATTGGGTTGGGTTAAAAGGTGAGCAAATTAACTTCTTGTGAAACTAGTTTTGAGGTTTATAAAGTTTTAATCAAACCAAGTCATTAAGGAAAAAAAAAAAAAAGGAAACTAATCTCTTGTTTGGATTAAATGAATTCCGCAAAATTTTATGGAATTCATTTAGAAATCTATATTTTTGTATTTAGAATGAAAAAAAAATATAGATTTCAATTTCAGAAATTCAATTCCATAAACTTGGATATGACTACACCAAATTCTATAAAAATAGGTGGAATTTCCAAATGAATTGCACAGATTAAGTAATCTAACTTTTTATAATAAAACTACCCTTCTGTATCTATAAAGTCAGATTTTCATTTTTTTAATTATTTAAATTATTTATTTTATCAAACTTGACCAAAAACTTTTAAAAAATTTATTTTTTTTAAAAACTTATTATTTTTTTATTTTAATAGTTCTCAGCATCTTTTTGCTATTGATGAGAGAGATCCAAGTTAAATATCCATTTATCACGAAATTAAATGCAACATTATTAATATTGTTTTATTTTATATATTTATTTTAATAAAAAATACAAAAAATTATGTAGCATAATATAAATATAATTGATATACTATTTATTTTAATAAAAAATACAAAAAATTATGTAGCATAATATAAATATAATTGATATACTATTTCAAGGATATTTTAGAAAATAAAAGCATTTTAGAAAATAAAAGCAAACAAATTTTCAAGTATAAATTTATTCCATACGTGTAGTACATGAATCTCAATTGAATTATATATTTTAAATTAATCGTACCAAATATGAATAACATTTATAAAATAAATTCTACTAAAATTTATTTAAAAATAAATTTTATATTTTGAATTTATTTACTCTAAAACCGTCCATAAATTGGACAATTATTAAGCCAATAATTTAACTTCCCCACACGGCACCTAGCCCTACAAAGTCGAGGGCTCTACACTTCCGAAGTACCAAAGACCTGACACCGCTAAGGATTGCAATAAACATAAACGCAACTGGGTAACTTCCCTTCAACGCGCGCTCGGTCCCACCGACATCGGAGATCGGCCATGGCCGCTTCCTCCGCTGGCAATCCATCGCCAGCTAACGTTTCATCCTCTCTTCCTAGACGTTTCGAATTCTCTTCCGATTCTCCTCCGAAACTCTCTCTATCTACTGATCAGCACAAGTATTGCTCACGGGCTCTTCAATTCTTCAAAGAGAAGCTTCAAACTCCCGATAGAATCACTCAAGAGTTCGCTCATTTACAGGTTCGAATCGAACTTTCACAGACTTTTCTTTGCTTCTTAATCGAATTTCAACGCTAAACCTAGTTTAAAGTTTTATCAATATTGATTAAACTGTGTTTGTTTGCTGAGAAATTCAGAGCTTTTAAAAGAAAGTGGAAGTATAATTGCCAAGTGCAAGTGTGTTTTTTATGTGATTAAGTTCTGATGATTTTTAAAAACTTGTAATATATATATATATAGTGTTGAATTTAAGCTGGTTCATAGAGTTGCTCATGATGCGTAAACGTATATGTTTCTTTTGTGACTGTTTTATGTGATTAAGTTCTGATGATTTTTAAAAACTTGTAATATATATATATATAGTGTTGAATTTAAGCTGGTTCATAGAGTTGCTCATGATGCGTAAACGTATATGTTTCTTTTGTGACTGTTTTATGTGATTAAGTTCTGATGATTTTTAAAAACTTGTAATATATATAATATATAGTGTTGAAGTTAATCTGGTTCATAGAGTTGCTCATGATGCGTAAACGTATATGGTTCTTTTGTGATTTCAGACAACTAGGACAACACCATCTCAGATGGCTAGAAGCTGCAAGGTGGCTCTTGACAATGTCAACGTAAGCAAAAATCGCTATATGGATGTATTACCTTGTAAGAACTAATTCCGTTTACCAGTCGGTGTTACTGTATCACTCTCAAAGGTTTCACTTATGATTAGCAATTCTTTTATGTTATCTTTTTTAGTTGACCAAAACAGGGTTGTTCTTAATCCTTGCAAGGATTATAGAGCATCTGCTCAGGGATATATCAATGCAAGCTTAATCACGGTAAAAAGTTACTTGCCTTATGGTTTAGGTTCTTTTTTGTTTTCACCACTCAGCAGAGATTTTTAAGCGCTCGTACTAGATTCTTGTGTGTGACCCTTTAATATTCCTCTTGTTTGCAGACTTCTTCATCTGAAAATATTTCTCGGTTTATAGCCACACAGGGTCCGCTACCACACACCTTTGAGGATTTTTGGGAGATGATAATACAACACCATTGCCCTGTGATTGTGATGCTTACTCGTTTGGTTGACAATTACAAGGTACGCCAATGTGTTAATTTGAATGTAAATAAATTTATTCACGGTGATATACAGAACTACTTTTAAAGCAGAAGTAGCAAGTATCTGTTCCTTCAAATTCCAAATAAGCCTAATAAACTAAAATACCTCATTCCTTGTGACTTATTATAATTATAACCTAACCTATTTTATCCCAATTTATACAACTTAGTAGCAATTGTATCCTTTGATCAAAATTTTTGAAAAAACAAAGCAAAAAAATTTATTATTTTTTATTTTCATTCTCCCTCATTTTGTTCTTTCTTCTCCTCTGTTTTTCCAGATCTTTCTTTGCTTTTCCCTCTCCCATCATACATCAATTAACTGTCAAGTTTAAAGTTTAAACCTTCTCCTTCCTCCACCAGAACCACCATAATAAGCTGTAAAAGCATTATACAGTTCATGTTACAAAACTCTGAAGACCGGGTGGTTGTGGTTGTAGTTTGAATCCCAATAATTTCATCGAGTAATTTTGGTTATCCAATGTGGGATGTGGTTCTCTTGATGATGGAGCAAACCATGAAGACATGGAGTGGATAAAAACTGAGTTTAGAGCGCAATGAACAGAAACCTTTGGCTGACAATGTGAGCTAGTAAAATAAGCAGAGGAGTTGTGATGGACCTCAGCCTAAGCCGTTAAGGGTATATTCCAGAAGGTCCAAAGAAGGGTCCAGGACATGGGGATTGCTGCCTTGGGAATTAAGGGAGACACATTAGCCACACCAATGATTGGGACACCTGTCCAAATTCAGTTACAAACAAGTGGGTGATCGTGAATATAGTACAGCAGAGGGCAAAGAGAAGGCATCTGTTGAAAATATTCCTTTTCATTTGTATTGATGGAGAGCTACTGAAGGCTCTTGGTACAGCAGAGGGGCAAAGGAGGAAGGCCTCTTGTTGGAGCATATTTCCTGTTTTCATTTTGTGATTGATGGAGATGCTTACTGGGCAATGCCCTATTTTGGCTTTGATTCTTAGGATTCAAAGAATGTTTCCTTTTTGTTCTAGACGAGTTTCTCTTTCTTTTTCTTCTTCAATTTTTAATATCTGAAGGATTTGTGGATCTGTAACAACTTGATTTCTGATTGGGGAAATACAGATTTCTTCTTCTCATTACCGCATTCTAGAAATTCTTTGAATCTTCTTGTTGTGTTTTATTCTCCCGTTACTCTTAGATCAATTTGTGGTCGACCTGCCTCCTTACTCTATCAATTTGGTCCGACCTGCTCCTGGATTCCAATGAGTACTACACGATCTGATAGCCGTTTACACGATCTGATAGCCGTTTACACGATCTGATAGAGGAATGTTTCAACCTTAGAAAGCCGTATTAACTCCATTGACAAATCCCTCCAAAACTTCCAAACAGAGCAGTCCCAAACCTTCAACACATTAGAACGTCTCTCCTCATTTGACCAGAAATTTACCACCATTGAAACCCTACTCCATAACCTCTCTTCACAAAATATCACTCAATCAGGTGACTTCCCAAACCCAAAACCGTGAACACCTTGATCCTCTACACCCAACCCACTATACTCTCAACACCCCACTATCGCTACCCCACCTATAACCTTCAATAACCCACAAACCACTAACCCAACTACTCATTCACAAACTTACCACCGGATTTTCACCCATAAAAACTCAAAACATTCCCCAGTTCAATGGAACAGACCTCGTCGGCTGGTTTGCACGAGTGGAACAATTTTTTGAGATTCACCATATCCAACCGGACCAGCGTGTCTCCGCAGTCCTCGTCGCCATGGTTGGCGCACCCCTTCATTGGTTCCTCTGGATCCGCCAACGCAATCCTCAGCTCACTTGGGAGATGTTGAAATCAGAGTTAACCCATCAATATGGTGGCGACATCGCAAACAACCCTTATGAACATTTGGCAGTAGTAAAACAAAATGGGTCTGTAGTTGATTTCCTTGATGAATTTATAGCTTGAGCCACACAAGTCCTAGCCCTCTCCGATTGCCAGTATTTGGGGTATTTTCTGAATGGGTTGCGTAGTGATATTCGACTCTGCCTCCGCTCCAGTGATATCGTCGATCTATACAATGCAATGAAGGTTTCGCGAGAAATTGAAAGAGAAATACAATCATCTCCACTGCCCAAGACTTCTACAAGCTTCAACACCCAACTCCAGCCAACTACCCAATTTGGCCTTGGCCCAAAGATTACAAGCCCATCCTCTTACAAACCCACAACCCATATCACCAGCCCCCAACCCAAAAATAATTCCACCAGCTCCATATCACAAACCTGTTCTCCTCCTTCCATCAATGTTCCACTCTCCCTTCCAGCACCACCCCACAAACCAGCCATAACCACCCAAAACCACCGTAGCCGTGGCACAAGACAGTACTCCCATCAAGAGTACCAGGAGCTACGAGCTAAAGGCCTTTGTTTCAAATGTAAAAACCCTTACACTCCCCTTCATGAATGCCCAAATAAATCCCTAAGAGCACTAATTGCGGGCGACGACGATACTCTTCCTATCAATGACGAGACCATTGAATCAATAGAAAATTCAGCATTGCTAAGCCCTGTGGAATGGGACGAGATTCACTTCTCCAATATCAAACTTCCTATGTGTTCAATTGGAGGTATCACAAGACCCAAGACAATGAAGTTACAAGGAGAAATTGCGGGACACTCAGTAATACTAATGATTGATCGCGGAGCTAGCCACAATTTTATCTCCGCAGAGCTCGCCCAACAATTGAACTTGAAGGTATCTCCAACTCCAGTTTACTATGTCAAGCTAGGCGATGGGTACTGAATTGCTGCTACTGGGGTCTGTATGGGTCTTGAGCTTCAAGTGAGTACCATAACCCTCACAGCTGATTTCTATGTCTTTCCCCTTAATGGTGTGGATTTTATTCTTGGTATTGCTTGGCTTGAAACACTTGGGAATATTTAGCATAATCGGGCAACCATGACCATGACATTCCACCACCAAAATCAATCCATCACCCTCTCCGGTAACCCTTCCTTGTGCAAGACCCCTGCTTCTCCATACTCCCTCCACAAAACTACAGAAAACCTTTATTCTGTCCTGCTATGGCAATTGGAACCAACACAACCGCAATTACAAGCCACCGCAAATCCCATACCTACAGCACTGCAAGAACTTTTGCAACATTACTGCAAAGCTTTTGCCGAGATTTAGAACCTTCCCCTAGAGCGCATCTCAGACCACCAAATTCCTCTTAAACCAGGTCAAAGCCCTATATGTGTCAAACCCTACCGTTACGGTCATGTACAGAAGGATGAAATAGAGAGGTTAGTGGCTGAGATGGTAGCCGCAGGTATTATTAGGCACAACAGCAGCCCCTTTTCTAGCCCAGTATTGTTGCTCCACAAAAAGGGTGGGAGTTGGCGTTTTTGCGTGGACTATCGTGAGCTCAACAAGGTGACAATTCCCAACAAATATCCAATTCCAGTGATTTAGGAACTCTTGGATGAACTTCATGGGGCTCATATCTTCTTCACCAGATTGGATTTAAAAATTGGGTTTCATCGGATTCGGGTTGCGGTTCCTGATATCCACAAAACAGCCTTTCGGACTCATTTAGGACATTACGAGTTCATGGTCATGCCTTTTGGCCTTACAAATGCACCAGCGACCTTTCAGGCGGTTATGAATGACATTTTTCGTCCATACTTGCGACAGTTTGTGCTGGTTTTTTTTAACGACATTCTGATCTACAGCATTGACTGGGACTCTCATTTACAACACCTCTCAACTATTTTGCAAGTACTGATTGATAACCAGCTCCATCTCAACCAGAAGAAATGTTCATTTGGACAAACTTCAATTGAATACCTTGGGCATGTCATCTCAAGTACTGGTGTCGCTATGGACCCTGCAAAGATATCCAGTATTCTTCATTGGCCCATCCAAAAGTTAGTGAAAGCAGTCCGGGGGTTTCTTGGTTTGACAAGGTAAAATCGGAAATTCATCCGACATTACGGCCAAATCGCCCAACCATTAACAACTCTGCTCAAGAAGGAGGTCTTAATCGCCCAACCATTAACAACTCTGCTCAAGTGTTGTTGGCTGGGTTTTTTTAACGACTGCAATTCCTGATCTACAGCATTTGGGACTGGGGACCTTGCTCATTTACAAACACCTCTCAACTATTTTGCAAGTACTTGGATTGATACCCAAGCTCCATCTCAACAGAAGACAAATGTTTTCATTTGGACAAGACCTTCCAATTGGAAGTACGTTAGGGGCATTGACTCACGTACTGGTGTTCGCTATGGACCCTGCAAAGATATCCAGTATTCTTTCATTGGCTCACTCCAAAGTTAGGTGGAAAGCAGTTCCGGTGGTTTCTTTGGTTTTGGGGACGGGAAGAGGTGAAAGATCGGAAATTCATGCCGGCAATTAAACGGGCCCAAATCGGCCAAACCATTAACAAACTCTGGCTCAAGAAGGAGGGTCTTAATTCGCACCCAAGGAGTAACCACACTCCTGCTCAAGAAGGAGGTCCTTAGATAAAATTTCTTCTGGTACAGAGGTAAGCCGCCCGCCAACAATCTTGTTGATTTTTCCTCAAGCAAGCTGTCTACATCTTCCCCAATTTTTTGGCAATGCTGTTTTTCCCAAACATTTGTGGTTATGAGTCAATGCTTTTTCGGGAAAGTGGCGGTAGGGGCTGTTAATGCAAAACTCAAAGCCCCGAATTTGTAAACTTCAGTAAAGGGTTACCTCAGAGTTCTTTAGCTTCCAAACGATCCAGCCGTATGACAGTGGTAGCTAAATGTGTCACATCTTCCCCAATTTTGGCAATGCCTGATTTTTCCCAACAATTTGTTGTAGAGTCAAATGCTTCGGGAAGTGGCGTAGGGGCTGTGTTAATGCAAAACTCAAGGCCAATTGCCTACTTCAGTAAAGTTACCTCAGATTCTTGCTCCAAACGATCAGCCTATGACAGTGAACTAATGGCTCTGGTACTTGCCATCCGGCATTGGAGGCCCTACCTCATAGGGAGGCATTTCTTGGTTCACATAGATCACCGAAGCCTTCGACACCTCCTCAATCAGTCCATTACCACACCAGCCCAACAATATTGGATTTCCAAGCTTATGAGGTAGTCAAGAGGAGGTCTACCTCCATTCACTTTCCATTCCACAATGGGTTGATTGGGAGGAAATACACAAGGAAATTATGGCTGACCCGTACATCACAGAGATCCTTACCGCAATGCAAGGGACAAATCCTCCAAGGCATTACAGTTTGGTTCACGGTTGGTTGTTCTTCAAAGGCCGTCTAGTTCTATCAGCCGCTTCACGATGGGTTCCTAAGCTGATCTCTGAGTTTCATTCTACTCCAATCGGTGGTCAGTCTGGAGCATATAGAACATATAGGCACATTGCATCCAATTTCTATTGGAGGGGGATGATGCGTACCGTTCAAAAACAAGTGGTTGAATGTCTCACTTGCCAACAGCAGAAGTATGAAGCCCAAAGTCCAGCTGGTCTCCTCCAACCCCTTCCAATTCCAAGTCTCAAATGGGACGACATCTCCTTCGATTTCATAACTGGGTTGCCTAAGTCCAATGGGTTTGATTGTCTCATGGTGGTAGTGGACCAACTATCCAAGTATGCACACTTCATTCCACTCCGACATCCTTTCACGGCCAAGAAGGTGGCTGCCAACTTCGCCAATGAAATCATCAGACTGCATGGCCTGCCGCATTCCATGGTTAGTGACCGAGATCCCTTGTTTCTTAGCAACTTTTGGGGTGAACTATTTCGACTACAAGGAACCAAACTTAAGTTCAGCTCAGCATATCATCCGCAAATCGATGGTCAGATGGAAGTATTGAACCGTAGCCTCGAAGCCTATTTGAGGTGTTTTTGTTCTGAACAACCTCATACTTGGAGCAAATGGGTGAGTTGGGCTGAGTATTCATACAACACAAGCTTCCAAAGCTCAGCTGGCACCACACCATTCGAAGTAGTCTATTGTAGACCACCTCCAACATTGCAGCAATTTCTTCCGGGGGAAACCAAAGTGGAAGAGGTAGCCACTTACTTGCTTAATAGAGATGAGATCCTTCGCAAGTAAAAAATCAACCTCCTTCGCGCCCAGCAAATGATGGTGAAATATGCTAATCAGCACCGCAGAGATGTTGAATATCAAGTTGGAGATAGAGTTTTTCTGAAACTCCAACAATATCGTCAGAAGTCAGTTCAAAACCGGCCTCATGCTAAGCTTGCTGCACGCTACTACTGGCCATTCAAAGTTATAGGTCGAATTGGGAAAGTCGCCTATAAACTCCTGCTGCCAGATACATCTAGAATACACCCTATATTCCACGTGTCACAACTGAAAAGGGTTGTAGGAGAGCACAAGCCTACAATGCATCTTCCTGTGAATTTACCCATTGATGAAGAACCCATGGTTGAACCGAAGCAGATTGTGCAGTTCAAAACCATCACCAGAGATAATACAGCTATTAGATAGGTCCTCATTAAATGGAAAGGGCGACCCATTGAAGAGGCCACATCGATGGATGCGTCCGACATTTGCGGGCCAGTTTCCTCAATTCAGCCTTGAGGACAAGGCACATTCTTGAGCGGGTGGTATTGATGGACCTCAACCTAAGCCGTTAAGGGTATATTCCAGAAGGTCCGAAGAAGGGCCCAAGATCAACGTGGGGATTGCTGCCTTGGGAATTCAGGGAGACACATCAGCCACACCAATGATTGGGACACCTGTCCAAATTCAGTTACAAACAAGGGGGTGATCGTGAATATAGTGGGGTGATCGTGAATATAGTACAACAGAGGGCAAAGAGAGGCATCTGTTGAAAATATTCCTTTTCATTTGTATTGATGGATAGCTACTGAAGGCTCTTGGCTTGATTCTTAGGATTCAAGAATTTTCCCTTTTGTTCTAGTTTCTATTTCTTTTCTTCTTCATTTTTAATATCTGAAGATTGTAACCTGTAACACTTGATTCTGAATTGAAATACAGATATCTTCTTCTCATACCCATCCTAGAATTCTTTGATCTTCTGTTTGTTTATCTTACATTTTTAATATCTGAAGATATGTAATCTGTAACACTTGGGAATCTGAATTGGGAAATGCTTGATTCTTAGGATTCAAGAATTTTCCCTTTTGTTCTAGTTTCTATTTCTTTTCTTCTTCATTTTTAATATCTGAAGATTGTAATCTGTAACACTTGATTCTGAATTGAAATACAGATATCTTCTTCTCATACCCATCCTAGAATTCTTTGATCTTCTGTTTGTTTATTTCCTTACTCTATCAAGTTGTGAGATGAAAAAGAAGACATGAAGGCTATTCTGTTGGTGTTGTTGGAGAGGAGGTTGAAGGTTTAGGAATTGATAGTCAAGGGATGTATGATGGAAGAGAGGAAGGTTGCATAGAGATCTGGAAAAGAGAGAGAGACAATTGAGGAGGAGGGAAAGAGAGAGGTGAAAGAGAAAGGTGAAAGAGAAATTGAATACAAAGAGTAGAAGTTAATTTTTTATTCTAATAATATTTTTATTCTATTTTGACTGTAGGGTATAATTGCTAGTCATATAGATTGGAGTAAAATATTGTATAAAAATAGGTTGGGATATACTTACACTAAATCTCAAAGTTTTGGGTATTTTAGATTATTATGCCTTCTGAAAATGCTAAAAAATATACATGGTTTTAAAGGCTATGTTGTTGAATTATTGTTTTTATTATTTATGTTTCAATTGCTTCATTGGATTAACCAAGATTTGCAAATTATGTCCATAATTGCTAAATACCTGGAAACTGTGTTGGAACCTGAAAAATATACAGTTGGCTATTTGAAAAAGAAACTTGAACCGGTTAAATTCCATTTTGCATTTCTTTTTCAAATAGCCAACTATTAATAGATTGGAGACAAACAATTTTTCAATGGGTTGGTCAGAACTTGTTATGATTTGAAATCACTTCTTAATTTCAATTGTTTATGCAGATTGTAAAATGTGGAGATTACTTTCAATCAGAAGATGGTCCTAGAGATTTTGGAAATATATCTCTGGTTAGCAAATGGGTGAGAACTACTGACACTTCATTGGTGTTGCGCAACTTGGAGGTGGGTTACAAAGAGGTAGGTTTTCTTTTTTATTATTTTTCTTTTTTTATTAATCTGCCAAATTATTGGTCTGTTGATTCTTCAGAGATGCGAAAATGAGAAACTATCTATGGATGGTTTCTCAATCTGATTATATTGTGGTTGCATTTTCTTCGACTTATTCATCGAGTAATCAACTTTTCTATGTGCCTTTTTGTGTGTAATTTCAGAAATTAACAATTATGAAGACGTATATTTTGATTGCTCTGGTTGTCTTTAGCTTAAGTCAAGGAACTAGTGTCAAAGACTGCTGTGAATGTATAGACAAATATAATATATTCAATTATAAAACATCGTTTTAGGTTCTAGGATGATGCAAGGAGCTGTAATGGTAAGTGAAGCAAATTGGAGGCCTTCTGTGCTAGCTGTGTAAGATGAGGTAGTGGTGATTCTATTTGGATCCAAATTTTTCTTTATAAAGTTTAATGCTGATGAAGTATGCACCATTTTTACAAAAAGTGTGCCAAAATGGGTTCTAATTCCCAAAGGTCTTATTTACCACACTTTAACCGATCGGGAGGTTGATTGGGAGCTTAATTAGAACTATTTTGCTGTCATTTACCTAACGGAATTTGCAGGAATTTATCTTTTTAAAATGTAGGGGTATTTTGGTAAGTTCCATCTTTGCTGAAAATCTATTCCTAAAGCTTTTAGGAGCCTTGTTCTGAATCCTTGTTGGGTTGGGATGATATTATTCCTTTTGGTTTTTCGTTAGAAGTCCACAACTTTAAATGAAGTGGACTAGCTTTTTTAAGTTCTTTTCTTAAAGGTTTAGGATTAATTTAAGTCTATTATTATCTATGCTTGTAATGCTTAGAATTCAGTTTTCAATTGAAAAAAGAAATTCCTGCAGTTTATTGCTTGTGACGTGATTCAATTCATCCTAGGTGTGCTGCTAGTGACAATTAGGTGTGGAGCATAATTTTTTACCATTCATGTGCATTGTTGGCGGTGCTTTTAATAGTACACAACTACCCAGCTTGATGCTTGCTATTTTAATTCACTTCCATACAAATCTAAATTATTCCTTACATGTATACCCTTTCTAAATCTTTAATAACCCATAAAACCAGACAAAATAAGGGTATATGAGTTTGACACAGGAGGTCATTAAGCTTTTCAGATTGTGTTAATTTTATCACAAAACATCAATTTTGATGTAGATAAATTGTTAAATTTAATTTATTTTTCTGATTTGATCTCATTTGAGATTTTCCAGCCAAAATCTGGTTGGAAATACTGTTATGGACAATCATCTCACTCATTTAATTTGCTTCAGTGAATACATGGCCCACAAAAAAAAAAAAAAAAAAAAAAAAATTTATTTTTTCCTGGCGATTTTGATTCTCAATTGAGATTTCTCCAGGCCAAAAATCTGGGTTGGAATACTGTTAATGGGACAAATCAAGTCATCACTCATTTTAATTGCCTTCAGTGGAAATACATTGGCCCACAAAAAAAAAAAAAAAAAAAAAAATCCCTCTGCGAGCTTGGTGGTTTAAAATAGTTAATTTAAATGTTGATTTAGCAGTTGAGGCTGTTTTTGCCTGAAAAAAAAAAAAAAAAAAAAAAAAAATCCCTCTGCGAGCTTGTGTTTAATTAGTTAATTTAAATTGTTGAGTTAGCAGTTGAGCTGTTTGCTGGAAAATCTCAAAGTTGATTAAATTGAAAAAAGAAAAAAAAAAAAAAATTAAAGTCTGAAATAATTACTCTTTTGTGATTAAATTAAAAACAAGCTCAAAAAGTTTAGTGATCTTCAGTGTCGTTTACCCCAAATGTTCTAATATAATTAGCCTCTGTCCTACATCAATTTTGTATCAGAGCCTCAAGATCTTTGAAGCTTGCTACTTGGTGCTTTTAATCATGTTGTCAAATGGTGAACTACATTCCAAGTCTGTTTCTTTGGAACAAGAGTTTGATGCTTTTCAACAAGATAGTAAAGGAAAAAAATGGCAAAATTTAATTCATTGGAACCGAAGATGGATGAGTTGCTTAGGAGAGTGCCTTCTAACAACCCTAATAGACAAACAACCGAAGCAACTGCTAACCAAACTCTTCCTCAAATGGCATATCCAAGAAGAACAAGGCTTTAAGTTGTCTCTAGACAAGAACAGATACAGTTGGAAATATCACTGAGAAAGTCAAGTTAAAAATTCTAGATGTTGAAGGAAAGATTGATATTGGTCCTGCTTGATTTAGCAATTTACTTCTTTTCATTGAATCTTTCTTTGATAGGTGACAATATGGAAGAATATCTTGAAGTGAGGTTTGTGGAAATGAAGCTTGTTGGATTAGCTAAAACATGGTGGTATCGCATTGAGCATGATATGGGAAGATAAGAGGAAACCACCAATTAATACATGGCTGGAGCTGAAAGCTAAACTACAAGAAAAATATATGCCATATATTTAGGATAGGGCAAGTTGTGGCAGCATGTCTAACCTTTAAAATATATGTCAACCATGACAAAAATGCATTGGAGAATCTATTCTTTAAAACAAGGCAGCATGTTTGTGGCTGAATAAATGCATCAATTCAAGGAGTTAAAGATTTGTAAAGTTTTGGAAGATGTTATGCAATCCTTGCACCAATTTGAAGGTGGTCTGAGGGCTGATATTAAAAAGGAATTGTTTAAGGGGCCCATATGCAGTGTAGGACATGGATTCCAAGTGGCCCTTGATGTTGAGGAATACCTCTAGGTAAAAAAAGTTGGGATTCAAATTGGAGATGGCAATGAAAGAAGAGTTTTTGATGCAAATTGTAACATCAATTCAGTAGCTTCGCAGGAATTTAACAGTGTTAAGGATTAGTTGTAAATAGAGTTCTATTAGGAGTTTAGATTCCTAATTAGTTTATGATTTGTATTCCTAAATAGCTAGGTAACATAAGAATTCCTTATATATAGACCTATGTAATCGATTGATGAGATACTTTAGGATTCTAATTAGTTTATGATTTGTATTCCTAAATGAGCTAGGTAAACATAGAGAAATTCCTTATATATATGACTATGTAACTCCGATTGATGAGAATAACAAGAAATCACCAATACATATATTCTCTCAACATGGGTTCAGAGGCCTTCCCACTTGAAAAAAAAAACACAAAACAAAATCCGCCGAAACTTTTTCCCCTTATGAGAAGCCACCTGCACCGCGGCTGCAGGAAGCCTTCTTAGAGCTTAGGTATTGTTTGTGCTCACCGACCGGCCTCAGGAATAATTTCTCCCAGCGCCGCTGATTTAGCGAGCCTTCCTCCAGAAGTCCCAGTTTGTCCGGATTTCCCAGTGAATGGCCCCCCACCGTCCTCCTCTTTCTTCTTGCTCTAGGTTCATGCGTTGGGCGGCATGTTCAATGGGTCCTTTTTTCAACCTCCGGTTCCGTCTCATCCGCGTCGTTGACCTTGAAGAATAGACGTGCAACCCTCAGTGGAGTTGTCATCTTTATTTTCTTTTGGGCTTATTCCAATAGGTTTTTGGTTTGCGTGTGATTCTGTTTTACCCAGCTGTGGGTCGGGCAGTCTTACTGCTAGTGTTTGTTGGCTTGCTTAATTTGCTGAGGAAACATAATTGTTCCTCTTGCTGTGAGCTATTGGTTTTAGGTAATTGTTCGGGGTCTGAAAATTCTAGTGATTCCTTTTTGGCATTAGGGTTTAGTACTGCACCTTGCTGCAGGTTACGGGTATTCCTGCTTTTTGGGAACTCTCTCCTTGTTGTTCGAGAGCAGGTGCAACCCCAAGTGAGTTAGCATTGGTGTTTCTGGCCTTCAGTGGTGTGCTCCTGTTTGCCAGATTTTCCTTTTGATGCGTTTATGAATATCTTGTGCTAACTGGTTTCCCTTCATTTGAGGGCAATTGATGTATGAAACTTGAACAGCCGCTATGAGTTGTTTTTCTGTTCAGTGAAGTTTGTTTTGACACCTAAGTGGTGTTGTCTTGATTCTGCTACCTACTATTTTGGTTTTGGGGTTCTTTTATTGCTATAAGAGAAGGTGGTACAGTTGGGCTGGGAGTATGGTAATTGTGACCGTTTGGGCTGGAAAGTAAATAGTTTGTAAACAAGTTGAGCATGAATTAATGACATCTATGCTTCCCAACTTGAGGGGAAGTGGTTAAGGATTAGTTGTAAATAGGGAGTTCTATAGGAGTTAGATTCTAATTAGTTTATGATTTGGTTATTCCTAAAATAGCTAGGTAACATAGGAATTCCTTATATAAATAGACCTATGTAATTTGTATTCCTAAATAGCTAGGTAACATAGGAATTCCTTATATATAGACCTATGTAATCGATTGATGAGATACAAGAAATACAATTACAATATATTCTCTCAACAAATAGTAACAAAACTCGCATTATTATACAGTAACCTAAACAATTTTAATTATATGCAGATGAAACGCAATTAAAGACTAATCAAAATATCTAAGCTGAATGATTCATATAGGAGCGAAACGAGCCAAGCCAAGCCAAATATGCTAATATTTTGGCTTGGCTCGACTAATACATGGTATTGTTTGAGATTAGCTTGAGCTTGAGCCAATTTTAAGGCACTTTGATCAAGCTTGGCTCAAATTACAACAATTATTATTGAGCTCGGCTGAGCTGGCTTGCTCATAAAGAAGCTCATAAATAATGACTTAACAAATAATGACTTTATATGTGACCTGATTGTGTAGTAAATTGCTGACAAAATCCATAAAGATGCTGGCAATAAAGATAAAAATTAATATAAAATTAAGTGCAAAAGCTTGTTGTTGTACGTCCAATTTTATGATAAAAGAACAGTTTGCTAGTAATTAATTAAAGAAATAATATGAAAATTATTCATATAGAGATGAAATCCTAGTCTTCAAGTTAAAGAATATCCTAAATTAGTTTAAGTTTATAATAGATATGTAACATATTTTTTCAATAAAAAATAACCTGCAATCAAATATCTTCTACATAGCCAATCAGTAGAACCATAACTTAGAAA